CCAAACAACCAAAAACCTGCATCTGTTCACAGTGGTATCATCTGGGGATAAACCAAGAGAGTATAATTCAGGAAGGTGCAAATTATTTCTCTTTCCTCTTCAAAGCTAAATTTAGAACATAAATCTTAGCATAATGTTTGCTTTTTATTTTGTTAGCCAAAAAGAGAAATGTAGCCTAGTCTTCAAACCAATATGACAATTTTTATAACTGAAATATTTTTCTTGGCATCATAAAAATGAGTGTGTGGGAGAGGAAGGAAAAAAGTTGGCAGTTTAAGCAAATAAACTAGAAAAAAATGTGTTCAGTTAAGGGCACCAAAATAATATTATTGTTCTCTAAGTGACATTTTCATTGCTAAAAAGTTGCTTTTGGTGCAGTGGATTTCTACTAGGACCTCACAGCAGAAATAATATTATAATATAATGATTCTGTAAGGCCACATTTGGAGAACAGGACTCAAAGGCAGTGGCATAAAACAAGACAATGGTAGCATGCAAAGTACAAAATGCACAGGACATTTCAACATAAATTGTCTTCTTTCAGCTAAGAGTATTTGAAGTCTAAATTTGAATGCAGTGAATTATTTCAGCTAAAACGAATGAGTTTAGAGGAAGTTAGTGATGTAGGCAGAGAAGGAATAATTCTGTCTCAAAACTTTCTATAGGAAGTAAATGAGGATGTGAAATGTTCTAAACCAAGGTAGTCACTTCTTGAAAGTGTTCAGAATGGGCTCAGAAAGAGACAAAACTCATGCAGCAGTGGACAGAGGGGAGCATAGGTATTGAATTTTGGGTTGAAATCCCAACAAAAACCTTTAATGTAGAAAACATCGTTTGAATAAAGAGAACTCTAACAGCCTGTCTGGCTTCAGAAACATCAATTACAGCAGAGATTCTTATCTCTTAAAGTGACATTTAATTAGTGGAATTTAATCTGAAATATGAGATTATCTCAGCTGGTTAAAGCATGGTGCTAATAAAGCCAAAGTTCTGGGTTTGATCCCTGGATGGGCCATTCACTGAAGAGTCGGACTTGATGATCCTTGTGGGTCCCTTCCAACTCAGAATATTCTGTGAACTTCTGCAAGTATGACTAAAAATGCTTTCTTGCTGACTTCAAATCCCTTCCTTTTTATATCTACAGCAATCACCCATAGGATTCCCTGCTCTAATGATAACAAGTCAGACAGCTTTGGGTACCTGCCTGCGAGGAGCGGGGCTGTGAAGACAACCAGCTCCTCCAATAGAAGCTACAAGGTGCGCCGTTCACTCCAGCAGCGCCTGGAATCTGCTGGATCAAATGCCCGTTCAGGAGGGGATGGTTTGGACAGGTCCAGCTATAGCGCCCATGCATGTTGTTGGGCAGCAGGGCAGGGCCTCTTGGCCCAAGCTGTTTTGCCTCTGGCTTAGAGAACAGGTTAGTTTACAGATCTTCACTGGAGACGGATAACCAAGCGTGTGTGTGTGTGTGGCGAGGAAGTGTTGCTTGAAGGGAGGAAAGTGTGAACAGAAGAAGAGTGATAAAACCACTCATTAAATTTAATAGCCTTGCTATTTACATTGGAGTTGGCATTGCAGCAGTGGTTAGGAATGCATTAGCCAAAGGAAAATCTAAATGACCTAACAAAGCTAGAAGGGGAGTTGAGAATTGGACGGAAATTATACTAGCTTATACTTTTATTTTTTTTTAAGAAACTACTCCCTGTTTCAGGAATGTCTCTCCAACTTGCAACTTTCAAGCAGTAGATTCATTAGCTTTACCATGAGAAAGGCATACCCTGGTCAAATGATCCTTTGCCTGTCAGGAATGTTCCTTGTTGTGCACATGGAGGTTGCTCCTTGGCTACCAGGGAAGAGCAGGACAGGGGAAATGTTGTTAGCATAATGACCAGGAAGACCAGCATGAGCCTGGAAGTGGCAAACCACAGTCACTAGCTAAAGGCTGCACTTCAAATTCACAGGGCCAAAACTTAAAATTCTAACATTCCTGTCCTGTGTGTCTTACTCATAGTGTCTAAATATCGTCCTTCTGATCAAAGGGAAGGAAATCAGTCCTGTTTGTAATGAAGTCGATGCAAAGGTTCTCACTGACTCCAGCTGGTCCTTGGTTGATGCGCTGACATTCATGTCTGTAAAAGAACTAAAGTTCACATAAACAAGTAACAAAAGTTATACAGAAGGGGTTTATTACATGAATAATTTGACATACTCCGCGGCAGTCTGATATAAGTGCATTTAATAAATGTTTTGTGGACATCATAACAGTCGGAGTATTTCAGCTGAACAGTCAGTATTTGGCTGAATTCAAGCCAGTGCAAACCATGACATAATCATAAACAAGGAGTTACAGGTCTACAATGAGGTTAGACTAGATAGCAACAGCATATTTATTGTCACATCAAAGCATTACAAAGTATGAAAGCCCAATATTTCAACTATCTCTAAAATGGTATTTGTACAAAGCTGTCATAGATACCTAAATGTGAGGATTCATCTCATCAGTAATGGATCATGACTTGATTTTTGGGAGTTATTTCAATATTCAAAACTATTTGGGGCAACAAGAAGAAATGTAAACATCTGACAGTTCTTTGAAGGTCCCTTCTGAGAAAATACATTGTGTGCCACAGGAAAAGTGCATTCTAACTGGTGTGCCTGCTATGGCCAGTTTGACTCACATTCACTTAGCACCAGGTATTTATCCATTTCTGCAGTAAAAAGTTAGAAAATCTTTGTATTAACTCAGAAAAGAGAAAACAAAGTCAAAAGTTTTTTTTCTTCTTCTTTTTTTAGAGGAACAACAATTAAATTAACCCCCCCCAACATTTAAACAGTTACCTCTTATGTACAAAGGAACCAAGAGCTAGCAAAGCGCATAGCCACTGAACAGTCTTTATTATTTTTTTCCTTCAGGTTCATGTACCTGAATATATGAGCTTATTTACAGGTGGACAGATATCCACAGAAGTAATAATCAGAATACTTCTATTTGGCTAAAAGTTGTATAAAAAAAGACAAAACACTTTGTTCAAATACTTTCCAAATATATATATATATATTAAAAGTATTCAGTATTTCCATCAGTGCCAGAGTTGGAAGCTCTTTCTCGTAAAAATTTAACTTTGTGATAGTAAGTGACAGCAAAGGTCTGACTGTGTCAGTCAGAGCTTTGATTTGAGGAACTGCAGCTGGAGCTACCCCGGGCCCACTGGGCAGTTGCAGATTGCAGGGAAATGAATCCGTGTCTGTCTGTTGCAGTGACAGGCAACATCCTGGTAAGGGTGACCTGCCCCGCTCCAGGGAGTCTCCCATCCATGCTGGGCACCCCTGTGGAACCCTCTGGGGCAGGTCCCCTTTGAAAACAACCACCCAAAAACCTCTGAAGTAGTGGAAATATTCTTTATGCAAGTGGACAACTAGCATGGGCAGGGAGCTCAATAAATGGAAAAACATAATTGCCACACTAATTCTTGTAAAGAATATAAAATTAAAGGCCTTAGCCCATCAAATACAAATACATACTGCAAAAATATTTTTCAATTCAACATAACCTAGATGAGTGCACATCTCTGGATAGATAAGAATACTACTGCCTTCATACTGCTATCAAATATTTAAATAGTTTGCATATGAACAAAATCTTTCTTTGTTGTTGACTCCAGGCTTGCTTTATTTTAAAGCAAGGATATTCTCAATACTTCTACTTTTTAGGTCTTTCTTCCTGTAGGATAAAGTGTAAGAAACACATTTCATTCATATTGTAGATTGGGCTGATGTATATTACAGCAACTCAAAATTTAAGTAAGAAATGTTGCATGCAATACCTTTCTCCTTGAATTACACCAGCTACAAGAACAAAACATCCATTTTCCATCTTTCCTACTCCCTTCCAACAGAAGGTATGCTAAAACCAAGCTCTGATCCTTCATCCCTTCCACATCCCAGCCCTGAAGTCTGAGCAATGATCAGGATCAAGGGTTGAGTGTTTTGAGCACTGTATTGCCCAGGGCAGCAGGTCTCAGTAGTAAGACCACAACCCCTGAGGAGCCATCCATGCCTCCCAAGTGCCACACAGCACCATGGGGAAGTGATGGGTAGAACAAAACCAGGCTGGTAGGGTGGCTAAAAAAGCTATCCCAGCCCAGGTGCAGTGGCTCCTCCCTGGCACAGCTTGACCGAATGTTGCTGCAAACTCCTACTGACCCTGTGTGAGAGCAGCTGCTGGTCCCACTCGGCTGCCCCAGTGTCCAAGATGCTGAACAAGAGGGGCTGGAGCAGCTCTGGCAGAGCCAGCACAGATACCACATCCCTGTGTTTGGCCATGCTGGGCCTGGGAGTCCCAAGTGGTCTCCCAGAGCATTCCAGGTCCGGGCCTTGGCCACAGGTCCCCATTGACTCTGCTCCTGGGGCCCTGCTGCTCAGCATTCCTCCGTCCTGCATCTTGGGTTTTTGGGGAGCAGAAACAAGACAAGAGACAAACAAATGCTAAAGGAGATGGGAGTACCTCCAGCTCCTGAAGTTCGGGGGTTGCTAACCTAGGGGAAAGGTTGGAGTTGAACCTATTCAAGATACAGTATGCAGCTGTGTGAAAATGCATAGTTTGTATGTATACATTCATTTACAAAGATCAAAGGAAGGTTCTTTGCTATGTAGTTTAATTACCATCTACGTTTAACAAAAATGCAAGCTGACAAAGCTATAGGAGACCCGTTAAACACACTGCCTGGGAGCCAATGGTAGCTGAATGGCATTACTCAAATAGAGAATTAGCTGCTTTTTGCTTTTTTGAGATAATTTAAAGTAGATTTTCATTCAAAGACTGTTGTTTCTGTAATAATGTATTTTAGGATTTCAAGAGATTCCTATTCAATCACGGTCATCTCAGTATAGACATACCCTGCTTTGAGGGTTAAGTAAAAGCCCTCTAAGACAAACAAGCAAACCAACAGAAACCTGGTTTTAACTATGGCATGTGAGCTAGATTAAAAAACGATTCTTCTAATACCTGAGCTAGTATTTAGAAAGTCCTATGAGTTTGCTCACTTCCCATTTATTCAGTTGACACTTTGGAACCTAGCTGCTTCCCATGAGGAATGTCTGTTGTCCTGAACATCCCTGAACATAACAGTAATGTACCAGGCAGGAGGGGCTTAAATAGAAGGAGAAAATCTTGGTTTAAATGATCTATTTAAATGTTGTTTTCCATTTGCACTTTTTCTGGAGAAAAATTGCTTTGTCACTTGTGACACTTACTAAAACACAGTGGTTTTCTACTAAATGTAACTTTAACAAAGATGACTGCTCTTTGCTAATCAACATGTTCTATAAATATTTAATTCAGCAATGAACTGACTTTTCTCATGATACTTTATCTTCATGGTTGTTTCATGTACTTAATTTTTACTTGGGAATTGACTTAGATTTTTTTCTTGCAAGTTTTATTCAACCTTATCAATGGAAATCGCACAAAAGCATTTTTGAAGCTAGAAAAAACTAATAATCAGAGAACCAGGATTCACATGGAGAAAAGTAAAATTATCAAAGCATATTCTGCAATCTAAAGTCAAGAAACATTGTCTGTAGCTAGCAAACTGATCATTCACTGGGAAATGAAAAAGTAGTAAAGACTTTTTTCCATATAAACAATAAATATTAGAAGTGAGAGAGGATGAGATTTACTCATTCTAAAACCCAGTGACCAGAAACAAATTATTCATTACCTGAATTACTTGAGGAAAAAAAAAATCTTTCTTGATTTTTGTAAAATGTTACTCTGTCCAAAGCTCGTTTAGTGCATTATTAAAACTCAGGAGCTCGTGCTTAGCAAATCAAGAATTCAGTAGTCTTTCTTTAAAGTTTCGAGTGCAAGCAGATACATCTCAGTATTTTAACTCAATTATTTTCATTAACTTTTAGGCATTAATAGACACATTGCTTGTTTTGTCAATGTTTTTAATGTAAGAAAAACATCTGAAATGTTTGGAGTGTCCTGACTTGTACTGAGAATGACTCCCTAGATATTTGAAGTCTACTGCAATGCTCTTGGATCAGCAGGCAGAACTGACTCAGATGCAGACACAAAGATTTTAACAGGTTTTTTCATATGAAGTAACAGCAAAATTCTTAAGAGGAATTTTAGAGAGCCCAAGTCTGTGTGGTTTTGATCTAGCACTAAAACATTTTCAGCAGCAATAGATTGCAGGGGCTTTTTGATGAGTTATGGCCAAGGTCCTCTGAATTCTGGAGTTCTCCCCAGCTTTCAGTGCTAAAGGGAGACAGTGGGAGTCTGGCAAAGGCCTGAACTGTGGCATTTTGTTCTGGGTTTTTTTTGGGGTTTTTTGGGTTTTTTTTAAGAAACAGAAAAGAAAAAGCGGCTGCTTCTTATAAAAACCATTTTTTTTTGCTATGTTCGAGTGCATGGAAGCACCTTATCTAAATGTGCTGTGCTGGCCCACAGGCTGCCCCCAGAGGGCAGAATCCAACCAGACTGCAAAGGAGTAGCATCTACACACAACATCTTCTCTTCTAAGCCTTCCTTCAAACATCCAAGGAAATACAACAACCAGTCAGGCAACAGAGCTGTTATTTGTGCTGCCTGACAGAGCACCACCCTGGAGGCCTGTCACTGCTCTTGCTCCTCAGCCGAACACAGAGTTTTCGGAGACACACTGTGCTGATACAAAGGTTTTAAGCTTAATTTTCCCTGTAATTCCAAGACCCGAGCAGTGCTGTGCAGGCCTCATCTCCGTGGTAGGATGCACAGGGGATATCAGCCTATGCTTTCTCTTCAGCACAGGTATCAGGTGCTCGCCCATGTCACGCACAAAGCTTGCACACCACTGGCAGTGCACTTGCCTCCCTCCAGGGACTCCCAGTGGTCCATGAAAGGACACAACAGCTTTACAGCATGCAGAAATACCTGGATCATGCCCATCCTTTGCAGGTAGAACTGCAGCTTGATAAAAAATGGCAAGATGATGTATTTGCAGCTCAGTGTGAGACTGTAGCCAGGCTATTGGAGCAGCAGTCAGCTTTGACTTTTATGTATGGATGTAGAAGTGAGAAAGCAGAAAATCTGAAAGTCTCTTAAAAGGAACTGAGGACTCTGGGAGGTGGCCAACTAAAAGCTTTTGCAGGGATTTCACAGGACTTCCAAGCTGTGCATGGTCTGTGCACACACACTTATCAACCTGGGAGAGGGGAGCCCAGGAAGGGCTCATGCTGGGAAGAAAGTATCGCATTGCTGCCTCTCTCTCCTCCCTTCGCTACCATGTGCTTTGTTTTCCCCACTTTTTTAGGCGTGATTTGGAATAAAAGAGTTTGGTACGAGGTAAAAGTCAAAAAGGTCTTTATTTTTCAAGGTACTCCACAAGATTTGAAGGGATTCTGTGCTGAGGAAAAGTAGCTGCTCTTTGTTTAAAGCACTGAAACTGGTATCTACAAATTCTTAAGATAAACTACATGCAGTAGTATTAGGGCTGTAAGTTTAACACCAAAAACAGAGGGAAGATGAGTTCTTCATTAGCTCATTTAGGAACAAAAGGATTGTCTTTAGGATACTAGTTCCCAAAATTAGTGCAGATGAAGGCAGGAAAAACCAAATGGAAGTACCACTGCCAACCTGGCAGTGGGCCTGTAAGTGTAACAGCTTGGAGCGCTGCTGTTTAAAGCAGGAAAATCCATACTCGCACACGGCTTCTGCTGGTGCCTTGTACTTGCACGAGTTCAGCCCCTGCAGGGCTACTCAGGGGCTTCACAGGCACCCACTAGACAGCACTGCCTTAGCACAGTGGAGAACACAGCTCTTTGGTGGTTAAGTTAAACTAATTTCAACTTTTCTGTGAGCTTTTTTCTTTTTAAACTTGCCTATTAAATAGTTCCACACATCTTTAAACTGCATTAGGCTGATTTTTTTTTAAAACTCCTATCAATTAAACTAATTCAGGTTTTGCGTACAAGCAAACTCAATGTCTAAAACTTTGTCTCCTGCTTATTCATATTCCGTTTTAAATCATGATATCCATTAATGTACTGAATTTACCAAATGGTAATAAATTTCAGAGGTACAGTATTTCTCAATGTATCATTAAAAATGTCTCTGATCTTAACATATTATTTGCTGCATGTTATGGACTTTGCAATTTTATAAAAACATTTTACTTTCATGGTTAATTTCTAGTTAAATCAAGATTAACAAAACCTTTATTGTTTAATTTATCAAAAATACACGGCCCAACAAGTGAAAATATATATAAAGTGCAATGCAGAGCAAATTAAAAGCTCAGCAATTTTACACTGAAGTTAAAGAGGAAATGCTCTGGTTCTAAAAATAATAATCCAGAAAAAATATTTTTAAAAGAACTTAAATTTACTTTATATTCTCTGAAACAAGACTGGTAGGAAAAAAAGGAAGAACAATGTAGGCAGCAGGTCTTATCAGATCTTAATGAGACCCCAGCCAAGACAGGGTGGGATAAAGGCAGTATTATCATGCCTGCCACATGAAAGAGCAGAGGTACAAACCCAGCAGGCAACATGCTTTAGGCATAACCTGGGATACTTCTCTGGTGGGTAGGAAGAGCTTCTTCAACAGCAGCACAAGCTTATGCCAACTTAATCTGCTGTGAACTGCAGCATTAGGTGAAGTGTAGAGGTCTAAATCTAAAATAATATTCCCCAAACACCTCTACTGACAAAAATAATATCTGGCTCCTTGCAAATGCAGGGGTGGCTGGTGCCATGTTAGAAATGCCCCTGGAACAGCGATGAGGCAATGCCCCCTTTATAAAGGTCTACTAATAAAACACTAACTTAGAAAGGATAAGAGTTGTGAAAGAGTTGGAAAGAGCCTCCTTTACATGGGGGTCAAACTCACATTGGCCTCAGTTTAGGGCTCAGTGCTGGGTTCCAGCAAATCTTTGGGAAAAAGACTTGGTTAAGGTTACAGGGCTCTGTTAGAGCCCCCACGGGAGTTGCAGCATGGCTCTGGAAGGAGCAAAACAACCCCTTCTGATTTCAACATTGACAATACTGTAATTTATTCAGTGACTTCAACATAAAAGTTCACTCACAGTTTTATTTTAATCTTTGAAAACAAGAATATTCTTCAAAAGACTGTTCCGTCCTCTGAACATGCCATGAATGTGTGAGGATAACCAACCTCCCTCAAGATGGACACAACAAAGACAGCACTTGCTCCAGCCAACAGCACATGGACTATGGTGGTGACTCCCTTCACAGAAGCTTGGCTATCCTGGGTCCCATCCTGAGAGACCTCCTTCTCCCTGGGCCTGGTATCAGTATCCATCAGTAGGATGGATTACAGACTGAATACCACTTGCTTAACAGCTCTTAAATCTGTCACTAAGTGACACATCCAAAGTACTGCCACTTTGGTATTACCAGAAACTCTTCCAACAGCTGTGCAAAGGTGCCGAGGTACGTATCCACCCCTCTCACAAAGCTCAACAGCAAAATCCTCAGGCACTCAGAAAGGGAGAGTCACAATTTCACACTCCCAATTCCAGTGGAAAGTCACAGAGAAGAAAACGCACATGCCTTTGCTCTACAACCATTACCCGTGTGAGCACTCCTTGTCAAAGCACGGGAACAACTGCAACTCTCTTGAGAAAATCTGTACTGTTTGGAGTACAATGTGATCTGCATTCTGCTCTTAATTGTGTAACAAGACTTCTTATCAGGCTTGTAATTAAAAAAAAAAACAACCAACCAACACCACAAAAATCAAACCACAGAACTTCTGTAACTGACTTAAGACGATTTTCCTCCTACTGGGATTCAATTCTGAGCAATTTTGTTTCAGGTCTTGCCTGACTGGCTCAAGCCTCTTTTGACTAAGTTGTCTCAAAGTTCGAGTTTGTCCCTCGGCGCCTTTGCTAGAAGTCAAACAGGGAAACAACCAAAGAGCCTTCTGTTCAACAAATCTGATTATTTCTGGCTTTCAGTTAATTCTGGACTCTGAGCACAAGACAAAAAAAAAGAAAGAGGGATAAGAAGATGACGTGTGTGTCATTATCTAACAGAAGAAAAAAAAAAACCACCAACACACCCCTCCAGGAGTAGGATAGCCAGATACACTGTACTTGGCAGCCCTACTCCATTGACCCCCCAGTGCAGATGGAGGGAAGAAATATGTGAGTGGAACTTTTAGTCTGACTGTTCAAATTTTTTTATGACTGAACAATTAATCCTCAACATAATCTTTTCCCATAATCTTCTGCTTGTATGAACTCTCCACTTAAGTCAGAGCAGATCATGTTGTGTGATCTCATTCAGACTGTACAGTGAATGAAGTGAATGAAGAACCCTCTCCATTTTAAAAGTTATTTTCAAAAGAATACAATTTTAAGCCAAATACTGCTAATTTGGAATGTTTTCATGATCAGAATACAAATAAAATCCAGTAAGAAAATGCAAGAGACAAAGCAAACATGAACATTGAAGTAAGCATTTTCATGTCACCATGGGAAATTTCAGACTAAACTATGTCTGTAACCAAGGGCAAGAGATTTTTTATTTCCATAATCCAGAACTTGTATGGCTTTGTAAAGGTGTTTTAGGTTACTTCTGCCATGTAAAACAACATACCACTAGTCTATGTGATTTACAATTTCCCCTCTCCTCCTTTTGGTTCTTAGGAAATCCCAAATCCTGTTTCATAATGTATAATAAATGGTTATAAAATTACACCAACATTATAATTTCAGAGAGGTAATAAGATCCCAGTGCTATAAAAGTCAGTTTTCAGAGAGTGCACATTTTTCAGTGATGTACAAACACACACCACTTGTTTCCATAATTTAGCCCTTTGTAAGTATTGCACCTGGTTAATAAGGCTACTGTCTATTTTCTCTTAATACTAAAAATTACGTATAGACAACATAATTTGTGGTTTAAAAGCACAGTATTCCTAAAGTGTTTAGGTAAATTCATTTATTTCCTTGCATACTCAGAGCTCCTATGCCTCCAGTTCCCTGGAAGAGTGCTGAGTGTACACGGAGTACAGATGGAACGATATAAATTTATATAATGTGACCTGCTTGTGCTCAAATGAGTTCCTTTGAGCTTGATGGCAAATACACGGCTTTTACAAACCTAAGCAGTGCTTTCACATGCTGAAATGTGCAGCTGAACTACTCTTCTTTCTCACTTTCCCTTTTGCAATGCAAAAAATAATATTTAAAAAAAAGAATTCTCTAAATTTGTCTGGTCTTCTAAATACAACGTAAATTGCATAAAACCAGGAAAAGATAGATTGTCTCACAAAGTGCATATTTCAAACAAAGCTAAAAGAGTATCTGCTCTTGCTAAGGACTGATTTCACAGGAGCATAAAAATGTGTGCCAAACTTTAGAAACACGGAGAGTCTCATCAGCAAACTCCGCAAGTTGAGGTAACACATATGTGAGTGCTCTGATGAACCTGAGCCGACACTTCATTCTCGGAATACCAGTAGTTCTACCTCTGCACAGCCATACTTCCTAATTTACAGATTACGTGCTCCCCTTCCCCGAAAGATTTGCTGGCATCACTGTAAGAATTAGTTACTACAGTTAAATACTGATACTAAGAATTTGGATACCATGTAAGTGCTATTTACATTTTTAGGTTCTAATACTGAAGATCCTGATTTTTGTTCACTTCAGTATACACATTTGGAATTTGCAGCATGGATCTCTGGACACGGGAAAAAGTTGATAGGAAAAAACGACTATGGATCAAAAATTATTTTTCTGTGTAAAAATAAAGCAAAATTGAGAATCTTCAAAATTTGAAGAATTTCAAAATTCTAGTTAACACAGTTTGATAAAACCCTGGGTTTACAGAAGCTGATACCTTTGCAGATAAGAAAAAAAATGTGGTGGCATGTTTTCTTTTTAATTTTAAATAATTAAATTATTATTTCAATATTTTTAAATTTTAATTAGCCCTTTTCAAAGTGCACTACACAACTCTCCAGGATATCGTGCTGACATAATGCTTTTTTGCTTGCCGAAGTCATTTGGTAAGAAGTAATCCAATTACAGACAAAGCATGCTTTGACCAAGCAACTATATAAACAAGACGTTTTTATATTTACAGAAGATCCTGAAAAGATTTACACAAATGTATAGATTTACATTTTTATTAGGTTATGGTTCAAGCTCACTTTCTATATTTTTATAAGCTACAACGTTAAGTAGGATCAAGTTCATCAATTAGTGCTTCATTCTCATTTTAATAATTCAAGTACTGATATATTGCTCTTTTAATTTTGCCTAAAATAGAAAAAAATTCAATTTCCTAGCAATCTTCCATTCAAATAAACCCACGTCCTGCCTTCACAGCCCTCTCATGTTCCCTGAGGAAATTTGTATTAACTATCTCTTATTTCCCTGTCTTCCCATGGCAGCTTTCTACAAACATTTTAGTAATTTCTGTTTATCTGGACATTAAACATCATATACTAATTGCTGCACGGTATCGCATACAAAGATAAGGACTTCAAAATCAAACCTGAATTCTTTAAGAGAATTAGCAAACAGTAAATACTAATATTCAAACATTTTTTAATGTTCAAGTCCATCTTTAGCATTGAATCACATAAAGAATTTGGATTTAATTTTGAAACATCACCTCATGAGTACAATGTTGTGTATGTGCCCAAATAGCAGGAAAGCTGAAACAGTATTTCTATTGCTAAATTTATTTCCCTCAAGGGTATATTAGAGACCTCACATTCAGATCCGAACATGTAAGGAGAATCATTCCTGGTGTTAAGATGTGTTAAAAAAACCAGCAGAACACTGGCTTGTCAATTTATCTAGTCCTTTCCATTTCATCAGCTGAATGAATTGTACCTGTGAGCAGGAGCGAGCATCAGAGCAACCTGTATTTTCTTCTGCCTGGTGCCATCAGAAACAGGCTGATTTCTGTTCTCAGGGTCTTTCTGGATTGCTATTACAAATGGTCTGTGTGAAGCACAGAAATCATGATGACTGCTTTTTGTATTGATGAATAAACTCAAAAAGTTGCAAGTGGAAGATGTACACTCCTTAAATCCCACATTTGACAGAAGTGACAGCACGGTTGATGCAAAACCACTGTAGTGCAAGATGGAAAAGGCAGCTCAGGTGGCACTACCAACAACAGGTGTACACTGGCTGTTTTGCAAGCTTGAAGCTTTTCAAGCTCCACAGGGATGTAGACAAGGGCTGCTCATGTCTAGCAGATACAGAACGTATTTAAACCCTCAGCTTGGTTGATTTTTACGTATGACTTACTTTCTAGCTATTTTCTAAAGGTGCCATAAAACTCTGCTGTTATACTAGAACAAAATCTACACTACAATGCTTTACAACTGTCCAGTTATCTACCAGAAAAATCCCGACAAATGCAGGTTAAATCCCATACTCCACACTGGTTTCAGTTCCAGTGCTACCATCTTACAGGAAGATTGAATAAAATATAAGACGAAGATGAGACTTGACAAATGTTTTCATATCAAAGTGTTTCTAAAAAAAGGTGCAGCACAACTTTCTCCAGCAGGTGCCTATAGTTTGACCCAACAAAAAGAAGCCTCACTGGCAACCACCTATGTCTCTGCAGATGGCTAGCAAGCTCCTAATTTCATGTCCTGTTTCTGACACGGTGTTCTAACATATTTACAGGCAGGGGAAGAAATAAATCACTCTGTATTGCCACATTCACAGCGATTGTCCTGGATTCTCAGTAGGGCTGCTTTAGGGGGTCCCAGGCCACAGCAACCAATAGAAAAACATCCTGACTCACTGGGTCAGAACAATAAAGTCAGGGACAAGAACATCTGGGACACTGCACGCAGCTGGAATCTGTTCCAACATGCAGGTTCTGCAACAGCTTTTGGCTAAAGCTTTACCTCCTGTTGTGTTGCTTATCTAGTCATTATTGTAAAAAAGAAAAAAGGGGGAAGGAATGAAGACAGTGATGTCAGCAAAAGTGAACAGCTGCAAGGAACTTGTAGATAATTAGATAGCTAACGCTGATACAAGGCTAAGGGATTTGGAAAAAGTAATTGGACACACAGGCATTCTGCTCAGCTTATTAGCACAAGCATGGCTAACGCCAACAGGTACATGCTAGGTGATGACTGGTATTGGTTAAAAGTAAGTGAAAACTTGCAGATTGGAACAGAAGAGTTATTACTCACTTTTGCATCTTGTATATCCTGTTACATTTGTGCAAGGCACTAGAGAATCAGGCACATTGTTCTGTGTGGAAACCGTTTTATGACTTAAGATGATCTGAGTTTTAAAGTCCAACAGTTTCATACAGGAGCAGTTGGAGCACAGTCCCATATTAAAATTGCTATTAAAATTTTCCACTTCTAAAATGATCTCATTTTACAGATCTTTCAGGGGATGGGGGAATGGGGAAGTGGGAAATAGCTTTGTTCTAATAAGGAAACTGCTAAAGAAAAATATTCGGGATTAATACAGTTGATCTCCACTCTGATACTGATGTTGGCAATTTCTGTTACCAGTATCAAGAAGTGGCTAAATACATAATAATAGTAACAATAAAACAGATCTTAACATTTTTATATCAAGTTCTGGCTCTCAACATATATGAACCCACATCCAAATCCCTGCAGCACACAGAGACTGCGCGATGTGCTCAGGCCATTCCTTCTGACTTCCCTGGGAGGTCAGAGACAATGAGCTACCTCCCACAGAGAAACAGAAAATAGAGGAATTGGCATGTACTGATGACAATAAATGACCACAGCATTCAGGCTAGCTCTTCCTTGGGAAAACAAAGAAATCAGACTGTTTTGGAGAGGTCAGTGCAGATGTGCGAGATAAATCAGGTGTCAGGAGGACAGCAATGCAGCTCAAAGCAACACAGAAGCAAGAGACTGAAAAATGGAAGAGGTTACTCCAGATTATGCTCAGTACTGCCAGCAGAGGAAAGGCTTTGCTGACATTTCTGTCCTTCCTAGGTGTGTCAGGATCATGAAGGGATTTCGGTGGGCACTGAAGTGCTCATGTGACATGAAGTGATCGGAGCTCAAAACACAAAGCCACTGGTGCAGGCCCAGACAGCCGTGCTGTCCTGCTACTGTGGCCTTGGGTGAGACGTGGTAACTCCAGAAGTGCCTACTTATGAATCAAAATGCCACAGCCATAAGATCCAAAACTGATTTAATATAAACCGCTGATTAAAGATCGTGTAAAAATACTGGTAACTTAGTTTTGTCCTGGCAGGATTTATCAAGTACCTTTCTGCCCTCTGCCTTGCTGACACCAATTTTCTCTCCTGTTTTGATGGTTTGTGGCTTTTGTCCTTTACATAATCCATATCCACTTTGTACCAGAGGGCAATCTGGTCTGGCGACAAAACCATTCTTCTGTGCAGAAATTCATAAAGAATAATCTTATTACAACAATTCATAAAGTGCCCTTGGGAAAGGTGCTCACAATGCCATGACATTATAGAAACAATATACAATCTGACACATTATTTTAAAAAAAATCCTCCAAAGCAAAAAGGAGGGGAACAACAAATATATAGGCAAATACTGTTAGTCTGACAACAGTCAAATTAATCATGGAATGCTTTATAGTCTTGGAGTGCTTGTAAAAATGGGAGGGGGGGGCAAATTGGCAGGAGTATCTTGGAAAAATCCCAAATATTTTAAGTTCTATCAAAGTAAGTACACCACCAGCAAGCCCTGTGTTTGAATATGAAATGTCTATGAATTACTATGAGGTATTTTACTATGGAAATTGAAAAAATACAACATCTAAAGAAAACCCACGACCCACATTTTGCTAAGAGGAAAGAAGATAATACAGTGGTTATGTATATCCACTGACCCTTAGTGTCTTGGTTTTTTCTATTTGTAAAGAAAACAATCTTTCTCCTCCCTGTTGATTCCAGATTTTATATACACATATAAAACTATATAATATATAGTTTTACATATATGTATACACACACATACAAAAATACTCATACACACATATATGTGTATATATTTTAGGGTCTTACTAGCTTTCAGAGTCTATTTTTCTTTTTTCTTAATGACTTAGAGAACACAATTGGGCAAAAAATCAAGTAATTGCATGCATGCAAGCATATCTTGCCACTTGTGCATGTAAATTACACAATTGTAAATAACTGCAGAAATAGCATGCTCAAATTAGGCACCTGATTGCCCAATTAACTTGTTCACAGAAAATCAGATGATAACCTTCAGTATCTCCTATTATAGATTTTTCTTTTCCATGCTACCTTACTGAATCCATAGTGTATATTCCAAACAACTGCATTGTTATTCTGTGCTTTTACACAGGCACAAGCAGCACTGCACACTTAATAAAGCTATCAACTGAACTTTGGACCAGATTTCAGAAAGTTGTTCAGATATTTAAAAGTTCCCTTATTTCACTGAGAACAAGCCAGCTCAGACAATTTAAAAAAAAAAAAAAAGAAGAAAAAGATTTGGTCTAATTTTAATTGGTTAGAATACTACGAAAGAAAAAAAATAACCCAGGCATTTGCAGCCCTTCATGCTGCAATTAATAGGCAAAGTTTTGCTTCTGTGTCTTTGATTTTTTTAAGATGTCTTGTTTTCTTTTATAGGCAAGTATTATTTAACCATATACATTCATTTCCTAGTAAATCCTTACTTTATTTTTGCTCTGAAATAATCATTAATTAACAGTAATTTGATACAACTTGAGACAGAACATCAGCTTGCCGCACTCTGGTGCGTACTTCCTAATGGACAGAGAAAGTAAATGACCCAAATCTATCAAAGTACTGCAAGCAGAGAAACTTTTTCATTTGTATAACAAAATGATTTAAGAAATTGATTTTTACCATAAATAACGTTGCTCCTTTGCTGTTGTACTTCTTTTTCTGAGATGATGTTGTGGAAAGGGGGTATTTTCTTTACCAATTTTTTGCATCAAATAAATCTTAGTAGCTTTAACAGAAAAAAAAAAAAAGCTGAGCAAACCATTATCTAAAAAAAAATCTCTCAAATAAGAGAAAAGGAAGCAAAAGCAGAACTGCTGGGCTGGATCATGTCCCTGAATAGATATTACAAATAATCATAGTGGCTGCAAGTACCAGTTCTTCATAGGCCTCCTGCAGCAACAGCCGTGCTGGTCCTACTGTTCATACTCTCTCAGAAAGGGGAGAGTGGTAAGAAAAGCTACTGGACTGCCAATATATTCTTATGGGTTTCAATCAAGCATCACTGGCTTTCTTCTCTCAACTTCTCGTGACAATATCTGCTGGTGACTTTACACTGCTGCTTTTCTTCCTCTAGAGGGTCAAAATCCAATTTGGTACTTAAATTACTTTGTTCCACTCCACTGGTCTGTGGCTGGTTTAAAAATCTTCCAGGAGCACTGCTTGTCCTTCTTGCAAATTCAGATTTTGATTTTCCCCTATAAGCAAACAAACAAAACAAACAAACGAAAATCCCAACTCCTCCCCACATCCCCTTTCCAAAAATATATTAATGATCATTCATATCAGGAGAATTATTTAGCAGTATCCAGTCTCAGTACAGCTTTTGTTGAGAAAACTGTAGCTTATACGACTCTGAAGTGTTTATTAGAAAGCTTTCAAAAAGATATCTTCGTTTCAGGAACAGAAAACTTGATCAGTTTAGCAGATACAGATGTTCACAGCACAGAGACTGAAATGGTTAAAAATTATCCTAAGGAGCAAGTAGCTCACGGAGTTAGCAAAATAATTAACTTTTTCCTTTCTTTTACAGAAAAACACTAATAGCTGCTCTGGTTTCCATGCTTACTAAGACAGAATTTTGTTGTATGTTCTTGGTTTTGCTTTTTTTTTTTGCGCTATTGCTCCACACAGGTTTTAATTAGTGCTTCTCCTTGGCTACAAGTGCTTCACTTTGAAATACAAAGCTCTTTAAAAAAAAACAAAACAACAAAAAACATCCCAAAAACCCAAAGCCCCCAACACCACATCACTGGAGGGGAAAATGGGAAGTGATACAGTGCAGTTGCAGCAATCTGGTTCTGCTGTTGTCCTCCCCCATCCCCAAATCCTCTGCATAATTTCAATTGTTAGTCGATGAACCTTTGGCAGGCCTTCTTCCATCGGCAGGCAGTACACCACATATCTCTGTTCTCCATCCCATAGACCTTCCGACACTTTTTCCCCTCCCCTCTAGGCTTCCTGTCAGAGAGAAAGGGAAGCTTGTTAAGGAGATGCTTAATAGCATTGCTTTTCACCCTAAAATCAGGACAACAATCTCAATGGAGTGCAGCAGGCAGAGAGCCCTGGGTGTTTCACGGGGATTTGGGCTGTTTTCAAGTCAGCTGGGAGCTAATGAAGCAGACAGACAGTCATAGCCGTGACTCCACAGCTCTGAGGGACCAGGCCTTCTCCTCGCCTGGCTTCCACAGCCTGTGCAGCAGCTGCTGAGCCTTCTCCTCTGCTCCTGGGATGATCCCTGACTTTAGCCACCAACTAAACCTGGACTAATAAATTGTAGTTTAGCCACATGAAATGCCTTGATGGACAGTCATAGCTGTTCCACAGTACAGGCCAGGTCACGTCAGGCAGAAGTGCTGCAGAGGTGTGGTAAAAATACTTGGCATAGCTTGTAGCATCAGATCTTGACCACCAGCAGGTAGCAGCTATGCAAAACGGGAGAAAAGCTACCAGCTCCTAAGCTTGCCAGTCCTTCCTGCACAGTTTGCTCTGAGCTCACTGACTGAAAAATAACAGAGTGAAAAGTTTTAACCCTTACCCTCACCTGCAGCACGTTTGCATGTGCTCCTTCTCTGCTGTCCCCAAAGCCAGTAAGGTGGGCAGCACCTGCTTTTACAGCTATAAAAATTGTCCTGCTTTCCATCTTACGACCACACTCAAAAGTTCTCAAGTTTAGAAAACGATCCAACTAACTGTTAAAATGGAACTTTTTTTATTCAACACACAGCAAGCCAGCAAACCTGAGGAGCAATGCTTCACCAAGCAACTCAACACTCACTACAGCAGTGCCAGCTGTCATGGCATCTTTAAATGAAATAACTGTACTGACAGAATTGTTTAATACAGGTATTACATGTTGCATGGCACATGTGGGAATTGCCTGGTGATTCCTCTCTTGCATGCCTACACATTTTCTGATTACTGAACATTAATTAATGGGCACAATCCATGAATTGGGGAAGATTCTGAGTTTGGTTTGTAGCATATGCAACAATCTGAGAGTCCTGAAGAAAATCAAAAGCATGAAATCTTTTTTTGTCTCATTTTAGGGTATAGTCACCTTTAGGACTGGGAGAAATAGTTTCTTTACCAGAAGAAATTTAGCATCACAGTTTGATTTTTTAACATAATTTTTGAACACTTTTAAAGTAGATTCTGGTCAAACATCAGTTAACTTTAATGGAAGTGAATGTAGCTTATGTCTAGGAAGACAAGGCATAAAAAGCTTTGCCTTGATCTAATCTATTGCGAGATATGTTTTTTTATAATTCAGTTGAAGTCAAATACCATTCTGACTGAATGGTGGTGAACATGTAAGATGGCCCAGCCTTTCAGGGAAAAAAGCAAAGCCACCCCATGTAGTTTAGGATGCTTCAGCTGGGGCAGTGGATCTGGGCAGCACTGCTTTACAGGATAAATTTAGGACTGCATGTGAACTCCAGACGTGCCTGGTGTAAGGCATGCAGTTTTGCTTCAGTCTGCCTTTTTAATTTTGCAGTAATTCACTCTTCCCCTGAACTTTACCTCTGATGGTAACGAAAAGCAAAATAGATTCTGAACGGTTACTCTGAAGCATCCTAGTGAGAAACTGCCTGACAACTGCAACTGGGGTTGGTGGTGTGCCTTCCCTGTTTCTCTGGCCACTGATATCTTATTTACTGAATGCCCTCCAGGTTCTGAGGCTGCTGATGTGCCAGCAGGAGCTAATGGTCCCGTACCTCAAGCCAAATGCTACTCTAGGCGGTGACGAAAGAACTGTATGGGACTGTTTCTGCTCTCCACTCCCTGCAGGACGATTATGGGTTGGTGATACCTGCCAATACAGACAAAAAGGCTGCTTATGAAGAACATACACATATGAATGCAGTTTAAACACTTTTTCCCAGAAAATGCACATTCATTGTGGCAAGTATACCCAGGAAAGGTGATTATATAACATACAAACATAAGTAAGCTATAGGTTTATTTAGAAAGATGTCTATTTAGCATTAGGTACATTGCATCGGCTCCACTTTGTTTCCCTGTACTTTCAGTCCTCCTCATAGAGCAAACCAGAATACAGATCAGCATCACTTTTTGTATTTGGGAAATACAAAATATGCATTAATTTTCAAGATTTCTGAATAGCTCTTAGGAAAACTTTCTCCAATTTAAGCAAAGAAAATAACTGGAAAAATAAACTCTGTCCTGTGTTGAGATCAATACCAATAACTTGCTATGAAATAAAGGGATTCCCACTTGTTGCTTCCATCTGTGACTAGGCATTCTTTCTGAGAGACACTGGTGGAGAAGGGGCTTTGCTGCAGAGCAGTTACAATGTGTCCCCTTGAGGTTTAATGGGAGTGCAAGGGAGCCCTTCTGATCAAGGCTGCTGACAAGAGGTACTGAATTATCTCCTTGTTCTGCACAGTAACCTTTTTAGCAGTCATCCTCTTTGTGAATGTTCATGAGGGGAGGGTATAGTTTGGTCTTCTGACACTTTCCAAAGAAGTTTCCTACGTGAGCTTGGGGGTTGGCAACATTATTTGAGTAATCACATGGCATAATGCTTGGCCTTAAATAATTCCTAAATTATTTACCATTACAGTTTTATTTTGCTCCTGGGTAAAGACCACAACAACTTTACATCTAAAACACGACAATAAAATTATGCACAGTCATTTTTAGTTGTATATTGAACATAGCAAGCTTCATTTGGGTATCTGGTGCACGGAGTCAGCATCCTGCAGCCCAGAAATGCTACAGGTTTTCAATCCTGCCTTTTTGAAGTCTTACAAGATTTGGAAGAATAGGAACTAACTGACCTGACTTAAAGAGAATTACTGTATGTGCTTTGATTTTTGATACGAAGTCTATTTTATATCTACTACACAGTAGCAAAAAACTAACTAATGCTTGTAATGGAGTACAGTCACTCTTTCAACTTTTACTCTCGGCTGGTAACTGCAGAAACTTCTGATTTCACTGCATGTGTGGCTCACACTCTAAACAAGTTTAGACCATTACTGATATATGAAATATACCTGCAAAGCTTGAAAGAAATTTCCTCTCTCTCTGCCTGCTTACCATAAGTCATGTTTTATACATCCAGAGACCACACTAGCTCCTTCTATCACTCCGGAATACTAAGGGCAGCTTGTTGTCTACCACTTCTTTTTCCAATCTTTTATCAACTGCTACCCTTGTTTACCTAAGAATGACTGAAACACTGAAGATGAAATTCAAAGTAATAGCATTTTTATAGTATTTGGCATTTACCACACACTGCATAGTTCTCCAGTCATTACCAACAACCAGAGATCTCATTCTGCTGGGGTTCTGAAACATTTTAAAAACCTGAAACTATTTTGTGTCTACCACTACTAACTGACACTCAACATATTAGCTGGTTTTCATTGAACAGAAGAGTACTTGGATGGCCTCCCATGTTACAAGCAGTTACCCTGATTACTTCCAAACACAGAACAGGCTTGAGCAGTAATTGCAGCGTGCAGATTGCCTCTCCCCTCGCCCTCTATAGAGAGGGTGTCTGCACAATGGTTTCCACGGGCTGGCACACCAAGGCAGCCAGACTGCACTGAAGATGAGTTTTGTGTATCTTGATCGGCTTTGCAGCAGGTCTAAACAATACCAGCCAGCTGTTCTCCTTTGCAGGGGACACTAGGAGCAGACTAAGAGGAAGCCCTGAGAATGCAGTCCTTGCCTTCGGAGGCTTTTCTCCTCTGAAGCGCTGTTTAACACAGAGTGAAATGACAGTATTTGTTTGAAGCAAGGACCTGGAGTTTCCAGTACAACTCCTGGTGGGAAACTGTGGTTACAGAGAAGATTTGTAATCTGTAAACATCAGGTTATCGAACTTAAAGATCTCGCCTGTTCAACCTTTTTGGGTTACGAGCAGGCAGTGAGAAGCCAGTATCACACAGTGGAGATCACACTGGCATTCAGAAAGACTTCTATCCTACATTACATAGAAGTGGAACTATATAGTCATTATGTTAGGCCCTCCACTACCAACAGATACAGACTCCACCATTGCTCATTCCACTTGCATAATTTAATTCACCCTCCTTGTACATCCTCAGGCTGTGCCTGATTTTTTCTCCTAGTTCAGTCTCAAGTGGTAGAGCAAGCATCATCCTGTTTATTCTGCTTCATGCAGAGAACAGCAACAGCACCTAGCAGTGACTCATAACTGTGCCAACACTCACTCTGGCACCTGCAAAGTTATCTTAGGAAAATGGTAAGAAAAAGTGTACTTCCCATGTGCCTTGGGAATCTAACTTATGCATGATTGAGAGCACAAAGGAGTTTGGAAGTCCCCCTAATTACAGAACCACAGAACTACAGAATCTTCTGAGTTGGAAGGGACCCACAAGGATCATGGAAGTCCAGCTCCTGGCCCTGCACAGGACCATCTCCAAGAATCACAACATGAGCCTGAGAGCATTGTCCAGACGCTTCTTGAACTCAGACAGACTTGGTGCTGTGAACACTTCCCTGGGGAGCCTTTTCCAGTGATCGACCACCCTCCAGGTGAAAAACCTTTTTATGATATCCAACCTAAACCTCCCCTGACTCAGCCTGATACCGTTCCCTTGGGTCCTGTCACTGATCATAGAGAAGAGATCAGTACCTGCCCCTCTACTTCCCCTCACAAGGCAGTTGTAGACTGCAATGAGGTCTCCCCTCAGTCTCCTCCTCTCCAGGCTGAACAACCCAAGTGACCTCAGCCGCTCCTCCTCCCTTAAGACTACAAGACTTCTAAATAAATGCCTGTGTTTAGATGCTGTGAATACCCCCAAGCCTGAATCAGCCACATACTGAACCCTGACTGGTCCAGCCGTATGTTTGGCTTGTTTTGAGGTGCTCAGGAACCTGCTGGTAAGCATATTCACATAGGCCTGTCAGTGCTGTTCTGCTAAAGACTGTCCAAAAGCGAGGGCTTAATGCAAGTCATGATGTCTGAACACCGTGGTTCCCAGGAAAGCAAGCAGGGAGTTCTCAGTGTCATTGAAATTCAATGTCCACAGGAATGAATGTGGAAACACTACAGTATGTGTCAAAAAAACCAAAACACAAAAGGAGACTATTTTGAAATTTTGTCTCTCTCGTGGACTTAACTACTGACATACACATCTAGAAGAAGACTGCTCAAAACCAGGATACAAGAGCCTTCTAATGGGTCAAGGCTGCCCAATGGGCCCATTCCAACACCACTAGTAACATGAAAAAATGCGTAGACCTACGCACTTTTGCAAATCTGTACCTAATCTTTTCTGCTCAGTGGTTTGTCCAGACCAAAAAAGTATTCCAAAGCCATTTTAGAAAACTGCTTGAATAAATATTAAGGGTCAGGTAAAAAGTAATGGTTTGGACTTACTCTCTGAAGTTCCATTGGGTGCTACAGACTTGTGTCTAATCCCAGGACCACGTATGTACACAATGGCATGAGTTTATAGTATGCTGGCTCTGTCACATAGTCTGGGCTTAAATAAACACTATCAGAGAAGGATAAAGTCCCCTATAATATAGCTTTTCTAAAGCAGCTACACTCGGTGTAAGAGTGGGAATTAAAAGTGCCCTGTTTTTATATGGCAATATCTAATCTACTTTGAAACAGGAGAAATAAAACTTTCATTTAATATACCGGTATTTATTTAACATCATTTGGCATCTGTACCCTCACTTACTGCACATAATTTTTCACTGCAGGCAAGCTTTCATAATTCATAAATGATCTCACTGCTGACAGAACAGTCAAATGTGTGCAAACCTAAAAGATTTTTTTCTTATTATTATCTTTTTTCTTTGTTAAACAGCCTTATAAATGTTGTTAGAGATATAATGGCAGTTCATATGGTTCCCTGAGCAGTTTATAATTCTGCATCACTGCTTCCCCAGGCTTTTGTATTGGGAATATTTTCAAATTGTACTTAAATCATTGGCATCTCCATACAATTCTCAGAAAGTGATTTTGCATTTCTTAAATTCTTTTGAGAACTCTCTAGTCTATAGCCACTGATCAGCGTTGTTGCCTGAACAAGTAAACTCGACACATACGTGTCTAATCCTGTCCTCTTAAGTGTCTGATTTACAATGTGGCTAATTGCATTTTTAGATTCCTGGCACCAGTTTTTGCTACACCACAAAAGGAGCCAGTTTCATAATTACTCCATATCAACCCCATTGTTGGGAAATCAAATTCTCAGGGAACTTTGCAGATAGCACGTTCTGTCAAGGCACTCTTGTTGAAATTGCTGCCAGCATGATGTCTTTCACTGTTAGTTGTTCCTTGATGGAATTTAATAAATATTCATTGGCAGAGTGCATTGTAATTGATTCAGCCACTTTCATTTTTTATCAGCTCTGCAGGATGCCACAGCCTCTGCAGAAAGTCTCCAAGATTTGCCAAAGGTTGACAGTAAGAAGCTTTAGAGATTCACTTGGTGAAGAGAAGGGAAGGAAATAGTATCTCTTATCGCCTTGTCTAATATTCGCTGTCATAAGAAAAAAAGCTGTATGGTTCTTTGGATAAGCAATGTGCCCTATATAACACACTTTAAAAATTCATAAATTCATAAAGTGTAATATTAAATGAGATGTTATGATATCAAATAGGTTTATGATTAGAGAATATCAATTTATAATGAAAAAATATTCCCAATAAAATGAAGATACATGACATTAATATCTATTTATTATAGAGATTTTCCACTATCCATAAATAGTGATTTACATAGTTTTTTTTCAGCATTCTCCATGCCAGGCACTATAAGCCGAATCCCTCCAAACTCTTCATAAAGGTTTTTCTCTCTCCCTGCATACCCACATTTACACCACAGTGCGTTTAGGGTCACTGGAAGTCTATGTTTAAGCAAACTCTGCATTTCTGCAGTCCTGTTCATGGATTCAGGCCTTGCACACCAGCTTTTTTGAAGAAAGGTCAGCGTTAAATTTACATAATACATCTTCATTAAAAAGCTGTCAAACTGCAATATGCATTAGTATCAAAACCCAATAGATATTGGATGCATTTTCTGTATAAAACAACAATTTTCTGCTATCAGTAGGGTCTACACATTTGAAGCCTCCTAAAGCTGGACTTTGCATTTCATCTTACTTTTTCTTTCAGTTGCCTTTCAAGAGTCCATTTAGGTAACTGCCTGAATCCAACTGGCCTGTTAGCATAACCATCACCTCGCTGATTTTCCATCTGGTTTTTTAAGAAAAGGAGCACACAGTGCTCTGCATGTATCGGAATGTTTTGTAAGCACATAGTTAAAAAATATACTATAGATTCACTTCTTTTTTTGTAGACAGTGATGCAAAAAAAAAAAGTAAATGTACTGAATTAAAGAGACTGACAAAGGTGTTAAAACCAGCCATGCTGGCAAACTGAGGAACATATTTAATTTGTTTCTCTTTGGTTATCTGTCTCATTTACTTCTATCACTACGCATTGTGAAACAAAACAAAAAAATCTAAAAACTTTTTCCTCCTTTTTTTTTTTTGATGTTCACTTACTGGAATGCCGGTGAAGGTAACTGGAGGTGACTGCCAAGAGATGCTAAAGCTACTGCCATTGGGAGTGAATTTTGCTGACCCTGGAATGTTCACCGGAGGAGTGGCCTGTGTGAAAAGAAAATATTATTCCAGCAAGAAGAGTTATTCTTCTTCCAAAGCATTTCTAAGGACCTTTCACTCCTCAAATGGTAAATCTATGAGACTTTCCAAGGCAGAAAAAAACTGCATGGTGACAAGTATTTTACCCTTATAAGACAGATAATCATGGGTAAACCAGTAAGAAAGGGACACAGTTACATTTATATATCACTATTCCTAAACCTTGTTTAGAGAAAGATGACAGTAAGAAGCAAAAAATACTACAAATGATCACCTGTTCCATGGTGATGAACAAGGCCATACTTAAACTGATAGCAGCTGGTTTACACAATTGAAGTGTGGATAGTGAGGTTTCTTGGACAAAACAAATCAATAGTAAGGGATAGCCATTTCTGATTTATGAGATAAATGTTAAGAATCATCCCAATTAAAACAGTCTTTCCTATTAAAAACAAGAAGCTGAAAATCATCCTGGGGATTCAAAAAACAGCTCTTAAATACTAAGCTCAAGCAAATATTTAAGGACTCCTGAGGTATTTGAACTCTTACATTCTTCCCATCTGGGATGTAATACCCAGTGCTGCCCTGGAGTGCAAAAACACAATAATCTCAGCTCAGACAGTTGTGCATCTTTCATCTTGTGCCTTTCCTTTGGTGTTCTCATGGGCTATGAATCCTCAGGAATTCTTTCCCACCCCTTTTTGAATCCCATTTAATTTTCAGAATCAGGAAATTCGTAGCTGTGAAGCTACCTTGCATAGCAGGAGTGTGAGCAGCCACCATGAACACAGGCTCACTTTGACCCTTGCATTTCAATTTTTCACCACAAAAAAAAAATCCCTCCTTAAACTTATTAAGAACTTGCTAAAATGAGTTTTCACTTCTGGCTTTCAGTTGCCTGTGCCTGACAATGCTGCAATACACTTATTTAAGTAGTGTTTGTGTTTGAGACTGCTGAAATTGTCTCACTGCTTCAGGGGAGAAAGCTCTTTCCTGAGCTGCTGGGCACAGAGGAGTGATGACAAACTACAACCTGATAGTCCCCACTAAAGATAATCTTCAGAGTAAACAAGTGCTGAAGCAATCCCCTGGAGTCTCTCCAAGGAAAAGAAAGTGAGACCACCAGATGCCTCCGCGTACGGCAGTGATGCTCTGTGGGCTGCCGAGCCTGCTGACAGCTCCAAGAGAATCCACACAGACATGCAGAGCAAACATCCGCTGAGCTCCATAAAATATAAAAGCTTTGCTGAAAGGCATCAAGAAAATCTGGCAACTCCCCTGTTCAAACGGGACTCCTGACAGAAAGAACTGGAGTCAGCTGGATGAGCAGTGAGACAGCACTGCCTCTGCTCAGTATCCCACAGGGGTATCAGCTCAAACCTGAGGTCAGTACAGCAACTTCCTCAGGTATTTGAATAAGACCTGAAAGGGAAATACTAGACGCTGAAAGAGCCCACCCGTAGTTCCTCTGTAGCTAAATTTAATAGGTACAGGCACAAGTTTTATAAAGAAACACAAAGTACGTGAAGTTTAAAATCAACGTAATTTGCAGTTGCCTGAAATACCACAGTGCTCAATTCTTTTTTTCTCAGTGCCTAAATATCTACATCAGACATGATCAGACTTAGACAGTCAGCCACCTTGTTCACTTGTTTCCCAGATGTGCATCTTTGTTCATCAAGCACTGTCCCCTTTTTCAGGCTAACATTTTAGACAATCTCTTCCATAAGGTATTCAACCATAACAACTGAACAGTTTCTATACCCTGACCTCACTTTGCTTAGAGGCCTCCATCTAATTTCCAGTCAAAATATATTCATGGGTAACTTATAGTTATTTGTTTGTACCAACACTGTGTCCTTATATTTGAAACAGCATGTGCTCATCCTCTTCCCCTTTCATACTTGTCCTCTCACTTTCTTCCCAGGCAGCATCCCATCCTCTCCTCACCCCTGCTTTGCCTGAGCTACCAGTCCCTGGGCTGGAGAGCCTGTTCATGTCCTCTCTGCCCTCCTTCTTCAATGCTGATGATTTTCTTTCTACCTCTTCTGACTGGAGCCCATCACATTTGGTTGACCAGAACTCTACTCAGGATCTCAGCTCTAGTTATCTGCGAGTCTTGTATAATGGCTTTAAAATTCCCTGTCTCTCCGAGATATTTCTTATCCAAGAGAGCTGACAACTATTTTTTTTCCTTTCACAGTTCTATTGTTGTTGGTTCACGGTCATTCTGTGCTTGATTAATGAACAGAGGTTTCCTTCTCACATAATTTTCTAACTACCCCAGTTTATAGCAGAAAAATCTCATTAGTTCCCTAGGTGCAGGACTTTGCAAGTTCTGATATTAAACTGCATCCAAAATCTATTATTCTCAAGATCACCCAGTCATGTAAGCATGATATATAACTCCGGTACTGCTGATGTCTCCTGAGTTTGTTATCAGCAAACTTTATTGTATTATTTGTGTAGTACCAAAATGATTTAATGAAAATGAGGTCAGGGCTAAGAACAGCTTTTCATTCAACTCCACTAACATTCAAAATAACTCATTGCTGTTCTCCGTGACTTTCCAGTTCTCTCTCTTACACTAAATTTAATCTCTAGCCTAATAAATACTGCTTATATGTTTTAAGATCAAATGCACTCCTTGAATCCAGAAGGATTTGTTCTTCTGTACTGCTCCCTAGACTGTTCTAGTATCATCTTTCTCTGGGGTTCCTCCATTGCCGTTAACCTCAACTGCAGTACTTTCCACAATTTCTTCAATTATTTTTCTAAATTTTTCCTCACCCGTAAGACTGGGTCAGAGAAGAGTGTCAGGACTTGCCTGGCTCACTTCCTGTTTATACCTTTCTTACTACAAGTAGTCTACTTGACACTTTCCAATCATACAGGAAACAGCAATTAACAGATACTAATTGTTTAGGATTCCTGCGACCCAGCTTTGGGCTCCATATTTTTTTTTCCTTTTTTAACAGGAATCCTTGGATGAACAGTATTCAGCCTCCCTTATCGAAGTTCCTTGAGCTGTGAATTTTGCCTCCACTCCCAATGAAGTAATTTCCACTTTCTCCTCTGGTTGGTGAGAGCTGAAACTTCACCCTGCCTCCTGGCTCTTCCTGCAGGACTGGAGAGATCCTGGCACAGGATACCACTACCTCTTCTGCAGAAGCTGCCTCATTTGCAAGGACAGTCTGAACACTTGAGCAGGGACCTTGCCTCCTGCTTCCAGTTTGAAAGCCGTGAACAGTGTGGACTGTGTCACTTCTCACTGATGAAATAAAGTATTGAAACCAGAGCAACTTGAAAAGAAGACATGGCTCAGGCACTTGTAGGCTCACGTTGTGGAATGCATCAATTCAAATCCAATTTAAACACTTGAATTAGTATTTCCTTAGCCAAGTGCTTTAACTCAGGGGCTGCTTATCAAACAGGATGGTGTGAATCTCCAAAAAGCAGGGTAGACTGTCACCACTGCAAATTCCAAATGAAGCAAGACTCTTCTCAGTAGCCTAGACTTGGCGCCTCACTCTCTGAGGCAGGGCTTCAGCTACACTGAGATAAAAGTCTTTCTCCTAGCTGCCTTGATCAGTCCCCAGGTTGGTGTGTTACCTGATGCAGCTTCCACGTGAGATACCAAGCTTTAATGCTCACAAAAGTCTAAAACAAGCCTCTGAATTCTGTATGGTTCCCTCTGGCCTTTTAGTGGGTCTGCTCCAAACACACAAAGGTTTTATCTGCACAATGAAAGTTATTGAATCCGATAAATTTAAGAGAGTTCATTTCTCTGATGCATACACGGGTCATGGACCACACTACTTCAAATTTTAGTGCACTTTTAAAATTAATGCTTTCTGTCCAAACTTAGTTGGAAGTTTTTGGTACAGCAATTTTTGCCATTTGAAAAGCATTACCTCTAAGAGTAGAAGGATACCATCTATGCCTTTTCTTTCTTCTTGCTCTACTTCACATATGCAAACTGACATCTAATTGAGGAAATTAATTGTTCCTGACATCCTTCAGGCACTTGTCTACAAACACATCCAGTACAAGCAGAGCTGAAATGAAGACTCTGGGAGGGATTCACCTGGCTTAATAAGAATTTTTACAATGCAGGAGACCACATCCGAGCGTGTCACCTTGGGCCCTCCTTATGATCAGTGAAAAATTAACTAATGTAGGCAGTGGGATCACAGAGCAATTCTTCTCAACCTGAAGTATGCACCTATGTGTGGCTGGATAAACAGTACCCCAAAATCTAGAGTGGGCACATAAACAAACAATTAGCTCAGAAGCAGACATCTACATTCAAATGAAACAAGCCCCTTGGGTTGCCCTTGAAAACTTTTCAGCCCATTAAAACTCATGGCTTTTTAAACTTGGCTCTTTAAAACCCAAACACTGTGATCTGACATTTCTTCATTCATTAATGACATCACTGTAATCCCTGGAGCTCACTCTGACTGGCATTACCTGGTAAGCATGGTCCGTGTGTACGAGGTAGAGGTTGGTAGGAGCTGAGCGGCTCAGAGGTGTCATCAATTTAGTCTCAGTTTTGGCACAGGAAGTTTCAGGACGGATTGCATCTTGGGTGGGAAAGGAAGGAGGAGATGCTAAAGATGGAGAGACTGGGGAAAGACTGCTTAAGCCATCAGCTACTGAGTCCGTGTTGAGCCTGATTTCTGTATAGTAAAAATCCTCCTCTCCATCACTGTAGTCAGACTCTCCTATACGTCTGTATCAAGACAAAGAACGGAGAACTGATTAAATGAAAGCAAAAATGCCAAGGTAAATTTTAAATTCTAGATGCGTGAGCAAATATATTCATATTGTCAATAAATTAATATTCGAAGTTTCAACCCTACCTACTTTATCAGCATTCTGGCTGCAGGGAAGGGGTAGAGGAAAAGAAAATCATCTAAGTCTGAAGGGAAAAGAAGTAGGAATTACTTTTTTTTTTCTTTCGGTGTTACTCTTGAATAATTCTTTGACTTTGGAGTAGATGTTTGACTCCATCTTAAGTATCACCTTCTCATTCCTACCTATTGTAAAGTTAACAAGAACCTCAAAGCACTCTGACTTTGGCAATGACCAAGCAGCCACAGAATGACAGGTAAAGATAAGAGACACAGGCAAGATATAATGTTCATTAATGTTACAGTAAATAATACATAATAAGTTACTTAAATAGACCAAACATAGTTATGGCTGTCATTCATCATAACTCCTTAGCATAACACAAGAATTTGCTAGAAAACATCTTCACCATGCAACTCACTCAGATACAGGTAGAGAAGGGACTTAGCTTGCAAGGGCTAAGGCTTTCTGGTCCAGAAGCAGACTTGTTGAAGGGAGGGATGTAGGTTTCATTGCCTTAACGTTTAATCTGCTGCAGGTTTGAGTGCAAACGCTAGCACTGAAGCAGCCCAGTCAAACCCCTATTTTAGTACATTCATAATCCACACACTATACAGAGGTAACTCACAGCTCACACGTGTATTTCCTCCCCAGTCTTCCATACAGGAAATCTGAGAGCCCTAAGCATCCTCCTGCCTGCATGTCCATATCAGGGCTGAACACTGGGTCTCCCTTTTCCCACCCCCTAGCCAGTTTTTCAGCCTGCTTGCCTGTATACCTCTACCTGAGGTCCTCTCACCACCTTACTCAATAGACTAGTTCAGAGACCATGGATCCAGCAGGTTTGAAAGGCTCTACCAGAAGTACCATCCATCAGACTGTAACTAGTCACTCACCAAAACTCCTCTCTCCAGCAAAGTTACTAACTCCAAATTCCAGGAAAGTTCTGCTTCTCCCTCTCCCACGCCACAAAAAGGATGTCCCCATAATATAAATGGCAAAGCTACGTTCCTAACTGCATTTTGAGAGATCTGTTTCTGATACCCTTACTCTTAAGCCCAACAATAACTGCTATGACCTTCTCAAGACTATCCTGAGCTCCACATCAGATTACATCCACATGGTCACTTTAATTTTTAAGCAGTGGGTAACACAGACCTACACAACAAAGATGGATTTTCACATATATAACAGGAGAAGAACATGAGTCCCCACTGTAACTATATATGAGGTAGCTAGGTCGCTCAGTGAACTGCATAGGAGACTTCAGTTGCAAACTAAACCTCTGAAACAAACTTGTATCCTAAAAGATTCATTTGCCTTTGCTTCTAGTCCAAGTAACTTAGCCATGCATCCTGGTTTTGGCTGAATAGTTAATTTTCTTCTGAGTAGCTGGTACAGTGATGTCTTTTGGATTTTGGATGAGAATAATGTTGATGCTGAGCAGTGCTTACTTTTCAGTGAAGGACTTTTCAGTTTCCTGTGCTCTGACAGTGAGCAGGGGCACAAGAAGGCAGGAGGGAGCACAGCCAGGACAGCTGAGCTGAACTGACCGAAGGAATATTCCATACCATAGAATGCTGTGTTCAGTATATAAACTGGGGGGAGTTGGCTGGGAGCCACCAGTTGCTGTTTGGGGATGGGCTAGGCATTGGTCAGTGGGTGGTGAGCAATTGTATTGAGCATTATTTGTTTCTTTTCAGTTTTATTCCTCTCTCTCTCCTTTTCATTACAATTATTATTATCATAACCATAATTAGTATTATTAATATTATCTTTAATGTTATTAGTTTGTGGGGGTTTTTTTCAATCATTAAACTGTTCCTATCTCAACCCATGAGGTTTATTTTTTTTCCTTCGATTCTCCTTCCCATAAGAGAAGGAAGAAGATAGTAAGTAAGCAGCTGCAAAGTACTTAGTAGCCAGCTGGGGTCAAACCATTACAACATGGAATTGTGGGTCAGGTTGTTTTTTTTTTCAGGTTTCTTAGGTGCTTTGTGGTTTTGAGGTTTTTTTTGGCATTAATTTTTTTTGGTTTTGCATCAATTCAACTCAGAACTGGTGCAAGCATCTGACCTGATGTGAAACAAAGCTGGAAAGTATTCATGCAAGACCCTGAAACATGTCTTCTGCACAGCGTCATCCCAGATGTGATGTGAAACAGCATGTACCATGTAAATGCCACTGAGCTGTGAGGCTGATAGGGAAGTGCAGTGTGATCTAGAGCTGTATTTGACCTTTCAGGAAAGTTCACAGAACTTCAGGAAAGGAAGTGCCTCACTGTTGGAATAAGTGCTCATTTGCCTTGACCCACTACTCCACCAATTCCTCAGAAACCTAGGGATATGAGACAGAAAAGCCACGGACAATCCAGTTCATCTCCCCAGCCAAGTGCAATTGCTCCCCTGCCAGACCAAATCCTTTAGACTTCCGAAGAGACTGCTCTCTTACCCAAGGTGAATGGTCCGTATGTGTTTCTGAATCCCTGCAGCTGTGCTCAGTACCTTCCCACAGTTTTTCCACAGGCATTTGAACATCACCTTCATGGAGTTCTGAAAATTATGAGTAAATCATGGTTAGATGTATGGAAGTTGTATGGATATTAGGAAATATTTCTTCACTGAAAGGGGTTGGCAGCATCAGAACAGGCTGCCTAGGGAAATGGTTGAGTCACCAGCCCTGGAAGTATTTAAAAGACGTGTTGATGTGTCGCCTGGGGACATGATTTAGTGCTGGACTTGGCAGTGCTGGATTAACAGTTGGGCTCGATGATCTTAAAGGTCTTTTCTAACCTAAACAATTCTGTGATTCCATAATTCTATGAAGATAAAAGAAAAACCAAACCACCTAAAACAGATAAACAGTTACCAAACACTGTGAAGGTTCTTCCAAATTTGTGATGATCTAAGAGTCTCTGTTGAGTGTGTCACCCTACTGAATTCCACAGAATCCCAGTGAAAAGCTGCAGGAGTAGCTTGTGACAAAACTTTACCTCTCTTCGTTCATTGGCAAAGTTTTTCATTTTAAGTTCCAATTTGTCTCCCCACTAAAGGAGGCAGATGATATAAAACTTTCTACACTTCTTTCAAAAAAAGAAAACTGATGAGGACTTCTCTCTGAATGCAAAGCACCTTCTAAAGCAAGCTCTTATAAATGTTTCCGCTCATGGAATTTGCAAAATACAAAAAATATTGTGCCAGAAAACCATAGCTTTAGCTTCTGCTATGTCAATATTCACCCATAATCTGGAAAAAACTGCTTTTACTGCATTCAGAAGCTGCAGCTATGCTTATTCAGACAAGGGAATGAGAAGCCATCAAGCAGTGTTCACCATGTAAAAGAAAAAAAAATGTGCATAATCTCATTTTAATATTCTTTTGATATTCTTTAATATAACTTCATTGATCTAAACTGAGTTATCACTGATTTAGAGCACAGCCAACAAGGTTATAAGCATCCCAATCTTAGATGTTTTGAAGACTGGAGAAAACCAGTCTTAATGTAAAGCACAGTGTGTGGTAACAACACAAATGTTGCAGAACTCTGTAGATATTTAAAAGCTAATTTTACTCGAAAATGAAACCAATTTTGTACTTTTTAAATTAAAAAAAAAGTCTCAATAGTTTATACTTCTCAAAAATAATTTTCTCTATTATTACAGAACACATTATTAACACAAGGAAGAGCTTCAAAATATAGTATTATGTAATTTTAGTTACATGTAAGATTAGGTGAGTGTCTTGAACAAAAGTTGACTTGGTGCTTTCTTCAGTTTGAACCCTTTGGAACTGCATGTCAGTTGATGGTTTCAGCATTTGCTAGAAAGATGATGGTTAGAATATAACTTACAAAAAAATAATCTCAGCTGATGGGCTTTCTAAAATATAAGTTGATTGCAGTAACATGTTCTCACAGTTACTTCTCAGTCTAACATCTGTTTGAAAGTATAGTTGCTAAGGGATTTGGGACCTGAGGTACTTTATCACACAGTTTATATGAAAAATATCTACTTTGGCATAAAATTGCAATATTCCATCTCTATTCTTTTATTTGATATTACAACTATCATTCAAATAGATACAGAATTCTTTTTCCCCCCTCCAATTAAATACAATCTATCTAGCAATTTTGACCGACACTTTTCTTACTTTTATAATATAATACTGAATACTACTATCAGCTCAAAATCACACAACCAACCACCAACTATGGCAACAAGATGAAGGTCATGCTTATCATTTAGGTTTTAGGAATTCCAGTGTGACATCACAAACACCCTGTGCATCTTTACGAACACAGCATGGTTTAACATCCATCCCCAGTTTGAGGGTAAGACCATTTTCTTAGCTTCACTGTGGTTTTGATGCCATAAGATCCTTAACTGTCAGTACTAGGAGTTTGCAAAAACCAGTGTATTTTAACATAATCAAGTGAGAGCTCACTGAGTAGAAATAAAGAACAAAACCTGTGCTTCAATTTCTGACTAGTTCAAAAATTGCCTATTCAGATTTAATGTTTTATTTAAGAAAATAATGGAACATAAATGGTTTGGTGAGGAATAACTACATTAGTGGAAACTTTTAAGCAAACAACTTTCTTAAGGGGAAGTGCCTCCTAACATGACATTTTCCAAACACGAAATGGAAGAAACTTTAATGAGTAAAAGTAAGGTTACCAATCACTCTATTTACAGGCTTATTCCTTCTGACTTTTGCAGCCCTGAAGAAGAAATAACCTGAACATATTTATTTCAGCTTCTAAAGGTGCAAAGTTGTACTTAGATCAAGTATTCTGCTCTGGCCAGAATAAAAAAACCTGCAGGAAAGTAGGTTTATTTATAAAACCAAGTTTGGCATGGAATGTTATTGTTTATCTACATAAAATATTTGCCATACAAAGCAAAATCCCTGTGAACTAGAACAGATAGTGTAATAGACCTATGTTGAGAACATAAATAGAAATATTTGAAAGCAACTTAGAAAACAATAAAGATGGCAGCTGCAAACCCATCTGTCTCATCACAGCTGAGCAGTGAGAATGATGCGACTACGATGAACATTAACTGAGAAGCAGAAGGCAAACCAGCACACTTCTGCACCCCTACTCTCCTGTCCCATATGCCCCCAAATCATCTCTGTCTTTAGTTTAACAATCAGCTATAACTTCTAATTTATCATAACAGAGGTGTCCTCCAAAATACTTTTCCTTCTTAGCAAGACACACAAACATTTTAAAATCCTCTTCCACGATCAAGGGAAGAACAGCGTGGGTCAGCAAATAAGCAACTTCTGGAGCAAAAGGATAAATCTGAACAGGTTTAAACAATCATTAAAACTTCTTCCTGCTGGTGATGAAGCAATTAACTGTCTCAGACTGAGCCAGAAACAAATTCACTAAGGGGAATAATTTCTCTGTTTTTTCTCTTTACAAAAAGCCCTTTTTCATCTTGGTATGTAAAAATCTGTCCCGTTGTGTTGGGAGGGATGGAAACTTGGACTAGTGCCATCTCTTTGTTTTCTTTTTCTTCCAGAGGAGCTTGCTTGCTAGCATAAGAGTGCTTTTTGGGGTTAGTTTTGGACCCTTTTTTTTTATTTTACATTGTGTTTTATTTAGTCTGCTTTTGCACTCTGAGGATAAATTTGGCCAATGCTAATACTGTATCAAAAGCCATCAAGTTGAGCTCTCTCTCTCCTTCTTTCACTCCATATGTTTGTGCAGAGAAAGCTTCACAGTATTAAGGTATCTGACATGCTGTCAGACAAACAGCACTTCCAGGGAACAAGGAGTATTAAGGTCATATCCAGTTTTTGTGATGACATATAAGGCTGCCTGTTGCATCCTGCACACAGAGGATTTGTCAAAGTAGGACAGAAATCCCATGAATGGCCAGAGGCAACACCTTCTGGAAATTACTCTAGTGTTTCCTGAGCAGGAGGCTCTGTAGAACCTCACCATCTGGCAGGAAATATGTGGTGCTGATGGCAGCATGTGTGTGCAGGAGGTGACCAGGTTGAACGAGACACAGTGACTAGGCTAAGTACCTATGTTAACTGGATGTCAAGGAAGAATACACATACAGAGCTACTGGGTGATTTCTCGCAACAAAATAAGCCTATCAACATCCTGTCTGCCCATGGGCATGGAATTTTACATAAGGCTAACCTTTCTCTTCCTAGGAATGGGTTCATCGAAGAGCAGGTTGCTTGTTTCACCTTCATCAATACCATCATCTGGCTGGGAAGGTGTCCGAAAAGTTTTGAAGCTATCAGCTGACAGAGGTGGAGATGGGGTGGATGGGTTGGACTGGTCACTGGGAGCATTCCAGCTCCAGTATCCACTGCTGCTGGTACTAGAAGGCACAAATCCTCCTTCTTTCCAAGATCCATTCAGGGATTCTGTCAAGAAACAACAACAACCGTCATTACAAGAGTATCATTGTTTTAGGGCTAAGGAGCTCTTTTTTCTAAGGCTTAGATGCCATGTTGGTAATTAACTGTACGTTCAATAAAGGAAAGCGAAAGCATTGGATGTAGAGAGGACAACCATATCTATCCCACTGCACACAAATTACATATTCCACATTTGATTTTTCCTTTTTTATTAAAAAAAACCTCAAAGTAAAAGGAAATGCTGGGTTTGGAAAAATAACCTGTTCTGGAGCATAAACAGCAATAAACAGTCAGATATTGCATGCATGATTAAAGGAGAACATTTAAATTGATCTTTAGAGGTCCCTGCAAACCCAAACTATTCTATGATTCTAAATACATCCTCAACTTTTAACAGGAACACATGACTGTAACGGTCATGAGAGCAAGCTCCACATTGCCAAAAGGAGAGGGGACATACACTCTGAGCCCCAGAACACTAAGCAGATCTGCAAAAACATGATCTTCATCCCAGTATTAAAACACGAAAGAAAACCATAATTACACTCTGTCATCTCATCATCTCTCAGTACACACGCCTCTGCCTACATGAGGTGGTACGTACCCCTTGGGATACCCCATCTTCTTTATACAGGTGTACTGATAGGCATTTAGTTTCAGAACGGGAAAATACAGACACTGGATCACCTCCACACCTACTCACTGGAGGAAGTGCCTCCTCACGGCAGCAGTTCCCCTGACATGAGGAGGTAGGCAGACACTCTAACGAACAGATTACACTCTACAGCACTGTGGGTGGGAGTAACAGCACTGCTTGTGCAGTCTGAGGCACAGCTTGAGCCATGCTTCATGTGCTGAGGTCCTCAGGCATTAGACATTGGCATGCAACTCTTCCCAGCCCTTAAAGGGCTTTTGGCAGGAGAGGAGTATGTAGGTCATCAGCTCAGCAAAGGCATGGCCTGAGCACATCCAGTGGTGCAGCCACAGGCAGCTCTGGCAGAAGCCCCAGGTTCTTATGGGCTTGAGCACATGCGAACGGACGGTTTAGGTGCGGCTTCTCGCTAACTGAGGCATTGGAAGCTGTTCCCAATGACACTGTAGTGCCTGAGCATTGTGCAATACCTGACTTAGGAGCTGGTAAGCAAGTAACTTCTTATCTGTTTATGAAACAATAGTTAAGTGTGAGACTAGTCTTTTCAAGCCAGTGCCTGCCTTTAAGAGTTCTGCAGAAGTCACTCCTTCACTCCTTCTCAATGTCTTACAGGTAAGTTAACTAATGATATCAGCAAGAAAGTAAGCTATCAAAAGCTTACCCCAAAACCAACGAATTTTTGTTTTTTTCCTCCTAATTCAGTTGGTTTTGGATGAAATCCTAAATCATTAACATCAGCTGCTCACAAAACAGAATGCAGTGCCCCCTTGAGTAGGCAGCAGCCAAGTCCCTGAGTTACTGATTTACTGAGCAGGGCCACTCTGCATAAACTGGATCGACCCTCCCCCTCTACCCCTCCAATTCCTCTTTGAAAAAGGACATATAGATTTCTGGTAGCTAATAAGTTAACATATAAAACTATCATGTTTTGGCTCATGATTACAGCCTTCATGTGACTGTAATGAAGGTGGGTTTTGTTTCTTATAAGTATTTGTACTTCAGTCTTGTGCCAAAGCCAAGAAATACATCTGGTATCAACTTGTGACCTTAGCACAGCTTAAAATTTCCATTTCTTAAGAAAAACAAAGGAAACAGCACTCTTTCAACTACTACTTTCTGATATATTTATGGTGGTACTTTGTATTCTCAGGGTTTACAGCTTCTCCTCACCTTGCTGAGAAAGAGATGCAAATCAAGAACATTTTTGAAGTAGCATGGAAAAGGCTGAATGAGGTTGACAACAGCAAAAAACCCTTAACACTGGTTCTCATTAATACTAACAAATCTGTCAATGTGAAGAAGATTAAAATAAAAATAAATGCAACTTACTCTTATTTTGGGGCTCTTTTCACATTGCTGGAGTTGCGTGAAAGAGAACCAGACCAAATATTACTCAGCTGCAGGGAAACAAGGGCCAAACTCTGATCCAGTTTACATGGGTGATCATCCCCAATAATTCCAGCACAGATCTGCCTTTAATATTAATGCTAATGTTATTTTTTTTAATGCTAGGAAAAATTCCATTTGTTTAAAGAAATGTTTCTTTAATTACACTGCTCCTAACTGGCCTTTTTTGGAAAAGCATGTAGAAAGAACTAATCATTAGTACATTTGTTGCTCATATTAGTAGGATCAGAGCCTAGCCTTGCAACACCAAATGAGCATTATATTATCAAGTGTTTACACTTTTATTTAAGTCCTTAGTACAACTTAGTTAGTCAGGCGAAACTAAGATATTCAGGGAAAAGGTGCCCAACTACAGCTTCAAAACCTTGTCTGTGACTACTTGAAAACATGTGAATTACTTTTTCAGGCTAGTCTTCCCAGATTTTGGGAAACAAGCAGACAAGCTGTGTGAAAAAATATCAAAGAGCACTCAGAGTACACCAAGAAATATCAAAGGTAGCTAACAGCCACCATTTACCTATTAGCAATTCAAAAGGCTTGTTGGGAAGCTGAGGTGCACTGCTGTTCCTGACAAGTGTCAGCTGCTCAGACTGTCTGAGGCGGCAAGTACTGCCTTACCCACAGCAGAGCAGCTCCCCGGGACCAGGGATGCAGCGGGGGACAAATCCCTTCCTGGCACATCAGCACAGATCCATCTTCCGCTGTGGTTTTGTCTGTGAGCTGAGCAGCTGGAGAGCAGGTGTGTTTTTATCCTTCTGTTGGCCTCCCCCAGGGGCTGGCAACCTCCTGCCCTGAAGCAGGACAGTCACTGGGGATGTCACTGATGGAGGTTTCCCAGGGCTCCTCAGAGCAGTGGTACTCCATAAACAGTTCTGGTTTTCAACACTGGAAAGTACACAAACAAGAGCCACGAGTGTTCATGGCTAGAATTCCAGCTAAATGGATAAAACTTACATTTTCTGGAAATAAATGGAAAAGCCACAGTGTTTGTTTAAAAATGTTTAAAGATGTGACATTTGGTATGAATTCTTTTTAAGAACATCATTCAGTGGATTGCCTGAAGAAATACAAAGACTACATCCCTCTTAATTTGCATCTCTAAGTATTCCTCAGTCTTCCAGTTATTTACAGAAGGGCATCTAATCTCTATTTAGCAGAGTAAGTTAAAAGAAGAGCCAGTGTCATACAAACAATGCTAAGATATCCTAACAAGGGTGTCCTAATTTAAATTATCCCTTAAAACAGAACACTTGAAAATTTATTGTAACTCCAGTCAATCTTGCACAGGTTAATTATATTTAATTATTAATCTCTTTATTACCAAGAACTTTTTATATTTATTTTTATTTGTGTGTCTTCTGCCATACTATAAATGAAGTAGTCTTTAAAGGGGTTACAGATCTGATGGAAGACATCAGAGAGTTACAAAGAGCACAGGAATTGAGGGTCTAATCGTGCATCTGCAGAAGCAGATCTGTTGCTGTACAGACTGCTAGTGCTTGGCCTTTCAGCCAAGTGCTTTGCCTCATTGTGGTTTTGGGTAAAATATGATCTGATTTCCATGGAGTGGAGGACAAGAACAACTGCTATCACTTACTGGATATGGCACTTGAGGACATGGTTCACTGGTGAACATGGTGGAGGTTGATGGTTGGACTTGGTGATCTCAGAGGTCTTTCCCAACCTTAACCATTCTACAATTCTAAGATTCTATATGTGCAAATACAAACAAGATCTTCAGAAAATTAGTGTTTCAGTAAGGTCAGGATATCTTACACAGTCCTCATATCCCATTTATGGAATGGGGTATCTCCCATTTCATAAACTGGAGCCGCTATAGTTACAGAAAAGATTTCATTTCCAGCAATGCTGCACCAGAGGCTTTGACGAGGTTTGACGAGTATGAACCCCAGCATACCAGAAGACAGCCTTTGTTCTCCACCATGGCCACAAGTCCTGGATGCAAATCCCCAAATGAACGGTCCTGGCACCCCTCCCCGCAGCCCCTGGCTCCGAAGGCTTACCATTGGGTCGGACAGGAGGGCTGCGGACCAAAGGGCTGGTGGATAAACTGGTGAGTACCATGGCTGCTGTTACTTTATCCATGTCCAGTTCTTCTGAAGACTTTCTGAAACACAGTGAGTGGGAGGCAGGAAACACATCAGCAAATATTTAACTTTTTTTAGGTTTTTTTTTTTAGTTTTTTTTAATACCAGCCCAAACCCTAAGCCAGCACAGCACAGTAACAAAAACAAGCTGCTGCGCAGAGTTCTCAAAGCTTCAGTCTTCTGGCAACCTGAGCATATCAAGTGGCTACTATAAGCAAACTAGCTCAGTAAATAGGAAAGGAAGTGGGAAAAGAGAATACATCTTTGTATAAATTCTTGGGATTATTGTGACCCTCTGTAACTTTAACTTTGTTCTTTATTTTTCAGAATTTCAGCTATTCATATTCTTAGAGCTAAGTGTATATACTTAAGGTGGTTTTCTTTTTCTTGGATGAAGACAAAGAGATGCAAAGCTGGATAAGATTAGTAGCAACATTAATAACATACACTACTCTCTGTAGGGTGAGGAAGAACTATGAACTGGAACTAAGGGATGTGAGTCTGTTGCTTCTGCTTAATGCTATTAACCTTTCCCTACTTTCTCCAAAAGACTGATCCTAAATTTTTCCCAGTCAGACTATAAACCAATTATTTCAAATAATTAGGAAACTGGCATAAAAACCAGGCAGGCGCGACAAGGGTGGGGAGAGAGAGAGAGGGAAGATTTTTTTTTGTGGGTGTGATGGGCACCTGAGCCATCAGCACAGCGGGAAGAGAGGGGCCCATCACTCTCTTAGCTGGGAACCTGGATAAGTCAGAGCAGAGGACATGGGGAATGGGTAATAAGGAGGGCAGTCAGCTTTCCAGGGGAGGGAGGAGAAGATGTGGACAGCAGACAATGCCATCAGGGACCAGGCTTCAGTGACCCATTGCTCAAGGAGTCATGGTTTTTTTAAGACAATGAAGGATTTTGTCTGTAAAAATTATATATTCCCCCCCAAGAGTAACTCTCTTCCTTACAATGCAAAATTTCTGAAGAGTGAATGTACCAAAATAAAACTATTAAGCTCACTAGGTTTGGCAGACTTTTGCTTTCCATCCTTGTGGGATTTCCACCTTGCGGGCAGAATCAAAGCAGACAGCTTCTTGTAACCATTTGCTTTCGAATACATGACTGATTGTCCAAAACCATCTTTTCATTTTGTATAGGTCAAGTTAATTTTGTTCTTACAAAAGGACACTTTCCCCCCTCTATGCTGCAATGTGGGGTTTCTCGAATTGCATCTGTGCCTTGCCAGGAGCTCTATTTAACCAGTCAGATTGAGTCCAATCTAAAGCCCAATATGAGAAGTGGCCAGCTATCTGATGTTTCCCACCAACTGCTGATTGGTAGGTCACCAAGAGGAACAGGACATGCTGGGCACACTCCCTTTTCTAGAATCCTCTCTCACTCACCAGGGGGAAGGCTTATTAACTGGAAACTATGCTGTAGTCAAAGCCTGTTGATATTTTAGTGAGCAAACCTCGAACTGTCCATGAAACAGTTCACAGCTGCTTTCTGGCTGATGCAAGGACCCACACAGATGCTGATGAACACTTTCCCACGCCACACAACAGCTTAGCTCTCCTGACTGTCTTTTGCAACACATCAGTGTCTGGAACCAAAACGCTGATGATGGTTCCTGCTGCATTATCATTATATCCGTAGAAAGCTTCTTTTCCCTCAGCCAAGGCTTTTGCAAAGAGCACAGCAGCCATATGGTCATCATCAAGTACTGGAAAGGTCTTGGATATCTGCTATAATCAACTGAGACCTGAATATGTCACCCATCAGGTCCTCATGCCTGCAGAGGAATATTCCACTCAGAATGCCAAATTCCTCTGGGCTCAGAAGACCCTTCCTCAGGGATGACATTGAGAAGGCTTCTGAAAACCAGCCCTGCCACATGATTTTTCAATTACCTAATATCCCAGGATGAAAATCCACTTTCCGAGAAAGATTCAGTGTCTCTGTAGTCCATTCCTGCCAAACTACACCAACTGTGCCTACACCTTTATCCAGCTGTGGATGAACCACTATTATCTGCACTTCTGCAACACAGGACAAAATGAGCGTAAGTTCCTGATATGCTGCAGAAGCTGATCCCCAGTGTTTGCAATCAGCCTTCCATCTAGGCTCTTCTGTGTGTGTGGCAACAGGACTAACCTGCTCTTCATCCAGGCCTCTGCAGAACTGCAAAATCACACCACAGCAGATGATGCAAGTGTTTCCCTAGTTGATGTCGAGATGTCAGAGTCTAGACCCGGACCTAATCCCAAAGTTCGCCAAGTAGTCTATAAATTTAACTTCTTCTAGCTCTTTTGTACTGATTTTTTTTCTCCCCTCTACAATGACAAGCACTGCTGCTCTGAAAAACTAACCCTTGCTCCAAATAATTTTGCTATGTCCCAAAATTGTCAGCATTGGCATCTGTGCCTAAGGTGAAAGTTTTCACAGGCAAACAAAGGACAGGAACAGTCATGAGAATTCTTGCCATTTCTAGCCATGCTAAACTACACTCTTGCAGTTACTGGAATGCTTTTTTCTACCTAATCCAATTTAACAGGCTAACAGCCCAAATAAAACAAACTTTGGGCTTTTTCTCTGTCCATTTTGAATCACGGTCATTTTTACTACTTCTAGCTCCTCAGCTACATCCAGTACACAAGGAATGCTGCTCTCATGCTTCTCAGCCACAAGATTTTAGCAGCTACAAGTTCTGGCTTATGTGACTCTGCTCCTAAACACATTTTTACAATTTGGCTCATAAATGTAAACACACATATTTCATATATCACTCAGCCAGTACTGTTGCAGCAGCAGCAGCCTTCTTCAAGACATAGGCAAAGCGTAAAACTGAAGACAGGAACCACTTAAGCCATCTGCATTTAGTCAGCATCACATGTGAGTTGATGCCTTAAGACTGCCTCAGTATTTTCCAGCTTTCTCTGCTGGAAAGCTGAACCTGCATACAGCTGTTAAACAGTATTTGCACTGAGAGAGGAGAATAACTCGTTTGTTACACACAGATTGCTCACAAACCATTTATCCCACCACTGCTGAGGCAATTTTCTGCGGACTGAAGTTATAACCCCTGATGTTGCTTATATTGTTATTATGTGTAATGAAATTTAAATAAGTTGTAAGATCTTCTACTACATTAGCTATGAAGATTTCTTCTTTCCTCCAATCCCACATCTGAGTCTCCAAAAAGCCATCTCCCAAAATCTTGATGGATGTGCTTGTGTCAACCCAGTCTGCATTTGAGATCAAACAGTTCTGGATCCTTTATTTTCAACTTTTTGTAAATCCAAATACCTGCCAATAGCTGAATTACAATCAATCACCTGATATATAAGCAGCAGAAGTTCCAGGACCCTGGGGACAAACCTTTTATCACCACCCCACGTCTCTCAGCTTCATGTCTCTCTGCTTCCTCAGTAGGCAGAATGATTTCACTTGATCCCTACAATACCCTAATCTATCCAGCCTGGCCTTTCAAAGAGTCCTTTTCTTTAACAGCCAAGCCCAAACTAAACTTAGTTACTACACTTACTCTTGCTCAATCCTTTCCTTGGTTTTGCTGATGAATTTACTACTTTTTTGATAATTTATCAATGTTAAGAAACCATCACATACTCCTCAGTCAAAGCTTTCTACAAGGAAAGGCTGGGTTTAAGCTCTAAAAGATGAGAAAAAGAGAGTCCAAGACAAGCCCAAGGCTATGCAAGTGCCCCAAGCCAACACAATATCCAATCTCCTACTGTCCCATTTCCTCAGCCTGCTCCTGGTCACTGTGACTTCCACGCTCCCTACTAAGTGTTATTCCCATCTGGACACACCTACATCACACTTCCATATTTTCTTCTCTATCAGCCACATCATCATCTGTGTTGGGAACCTTTTTTTAAACCTGCTCTCAAAAAAATCTTTAGAAATACACATTTTATTCTAGTTTTTTAAGTCTTTAGTCTATAATTTATTAATTGTCTGCCTTAGATCAAACAGCCTGCAGTTTTTCCTCTTAGAAAAACTGTATCTTAAGTCAGTACTTTTCTCAAGCATATTTTGAAGGTCCTAGAGAATATTCTTAGAGCAGAGAAACTGGTAGGGGAAAGCAGGTGTTTTTGATAAAATTGACCTTACTCAAAATGACATTTAAGTTCATTTGAAGCAAAGAAAAAATAAAAAACAAATTCATTTTCCCTGTCCACAACTCCAAAGCTTTCAGTTAATTCCCTGATCAGAAACCTCTGACTCCAGTGCAGCAAAGCTCAAAGCAACCAGGCACAGGTTCACTGTATAGAAAGTGCTTTCCTACACTCTGGAGCTGCCCCAACACGGCGGGAATGCAGACCAGGCAGCGTTTCTTCACCAGGGCTCTGCTCCCACCAAGACAAGGAGAGGGACAGCAGCATCCTGCAGCTGGCAGGACCAGGCTGCATGGGGATAGAAACTGCAGCACCAGCACATGAGCGCAAGGGGAAGGGAAAAGGCATTTCCAACTACTTCAAGTGGATGTTGACTACAAAAGTCGATGGTCACAGATTCAACCTTCTTCTCTAGAATCACATACCGCTGCTTTCCAGCACTGTTGAGCTTGCCTTTCCTTAACCTACCCTCTAAACAATAACCACCTGAAGCTCATATGCTCTAAACATTCAGACTTATTAAAAGGCTTATATTTTCCTTTGTCTTAGCAGAGGCACGTGCTTACCTATTTCTTACTGCTATCCTCACCAGAGGGACATGGTAAAAAAAAAATAAAAAATTGACTAGGATTGATAAGGACAGAGGCAGCCGAGCACAAAAATGCTATTATGCTATGTTAGCTGGCTACTGTCCTCCACTCAAAAATCAGCTTATGACAGTGGTTCACAAAACATCTGGACCTTTTGTTAAGGAAGTACCCTATAAATATGTGTGCGTTAATATGCTACAACTAAGACAAAATAACAGTATATTTAAATATCTATTTATATCTCCCTCCCATACTTATATGTGCTAGTCTCATAGAGATCTCTGAAGTCTGACTCTGAT